AAAAGAGGGGGGGGGGGCCTGTCACTTTAAGCCATTAAGTCCCACTATAAAACCTCCTCCAATAAAAATGACACCTGCAGCCCCTTTTCTCAAAGAGGGAGCAAAAGCATCACATCAGGAACACAAAACTGGATGGCAATAAAAGACAAACTTGGCCAAATGCTTTTGGCAGTCTAATTCCACCAGCACACTCCCACCATCACCACACACACACACATCTACCAGCAGACACACACCCACTTCCCTGTATTACCTCTGTTCCTGAGTTACTGCCAGAAAAGGAATGCAGCCCTCAGCCCTCCCCTCACTCACTCATCAAAGACCATGAACTTCATTGATTTCGGGAGTGTGTGTGTGTGTGTGTGTGTGTGTGTGTGTGTGTGTATATATATATGCTGGGTGTACCATACGTTCTTCAAAACAGTTTAGTTCCACTGGGTTCAGGAAAAACAACACACATACTTCTTTAGCAGGTGGTAAAACAGACCTTTGGAGTGAGCAATCAGGCGCTTTTCAGCTGTGTGAAAGTAACTGTGATCTATCAAAAGAGAAACTTTTGTTTTATAGAGCTTTGTAAATCATAAAGACTTTGGTCAAGTTTACTTTAACGCCGATAAACAACTTCTGTAAAAACAGATGATGCGTGTTAAAGTGTAATCATTTTTTCATGTCTAAATTAGACTTAACTGGCCTAATTTGTCTCTCTCTAAACATCATTAGGTTTTTATTTATGACTTTAAATCTTTGAAAGATGTACATCTCCTTTAGGGCCAAAACTATCTGCAATATAAACTGTTTTACTTACAGTACCTGTAAATTATAAATGATGGCTGTACATTTCACACAGTCTGTCTAACCGTAATCAAGCCAGTTTTATTTAAATGGTCCATATTTGTGTCTGATTGATTGACAATCTGTATGACAGCCTCAGACCCCCTCTTTGGATAGGGAAAATTTCAATAAAACAGCACGGTACAAACACTCTCCTCTCCTTTCCCAGTCACTCTGTTAATTTCACTGAAACTGTTGTGATCAGCCCCATATTGCTCTAACAAAAGGACACATTCTCCTTTCAGTGCCATGCCTCCAGTCTCGATAGCTTAATGTCAGAGGTGGAGGCGGTGTTTGATAGGGGGTTCAGGCGGCACATCAGCATACACTACTGAGCATACCGTGCCAAAAGGGGACATCATCGTCACACTCAACAGCCGATCTATAATTTTAAATGCACTTCCCCTCATCTCAAACAGTTGTATGTCAGAAAATCCAAAGCATGCACGACAGATAACTGCACTGAGTAAGTGGGTAATCAATACGTTCAAGGACTTTGCAGATAGCGGAGTCCTTGATGGAGCCAATTAACAAACACAGATCAAGTGGACCTTAGGTAAAGCAAGTTTAAATATAAATGGCCATATATGGGCTGACAGATTAGGACTATGAGTGATGAAAATGTTGCTGATTCAGCATGTGCTGTGGCTTAGAGGAAACGATCCAACACTGCTGGATAAGTGTTCCTCCTCAGCTAAACAATTAAGTACTGAGCCTTACACCAACCACAGAGGCTTTCAGATAAGACTGCTGCCAAGTGTCTGTAAAGGCTAGTCTAGTGCACATTTAGGTAGAGTGAAACTTGAATCACTTTCAGCTTGGACACACAATACGGTGCACCTGTAATAACACCCTGTCAGTGTGTGTAACACTGGCGGCTTAGCGCATTTCTGGGAAGCCACATAAAGGGTGTTGTGGCAGGACCTGAAACAGAAGAAAGCCGCCCAGTGTCTCAGAAGTCCCCGTGAATCTCCCCGGTGCGTACAGGTAGCTGATGATACGTGTCCAAGTGCAACCGCTCATGAAAGAGCAGCAGACACAATAACAGGGCTCACATACAGCACAGCTCTGTACTGTGTCTGCTACAGGGGACAAGGGTCTGCTTTGACAAGCTTACAGCAGCATTTGGCATTAAAGGAACCATTAATAAAAGTAAAACACTTTACCTAAGATTAAATTCAAAACAAAGTAACTCATAAACCAAATGATTATATATATCTTATATCTGGAAATTCAAAAATATAAAAAAAATCATCACAGCTGTGCAAAGCTCCCCCTTTCCTTTAAGCTTTTACTTTCTGGAAAAATGAATGTGAATAATTCCACTCTGCAGAAAGTGCCAGATTTACTAACTTTCACAAAGCGTCCTCTACAGCCCCTGACCTCTGTGTGGATTATTGAGCATTTCCACATAAAATTGGCTTCTGACAATGTAGAGGTCCTCATTACTCCCATGTGACCTGTTTGTAATAGGACATGAGCACAGTTTTAAAGGACGCTCAGACTATGACTCAAGCTACTTCGTTTGAGTAGAACTATAAGTATTTTATTTTATTCTTTTTTTTCTTTGCTTTGTTTTTGATTTATTATTAAACGGAAGCAAAATTTACCACCAACCAAGTCAGCTGAAAAACAACATACAGTGGGCTAAAGCCTTTTTTAAAGCTTCAGTGCCAACCAAGTTACCAAGACTTTACGAAAACACACAATCTAAACACAATACAAATACTAACTTTATTCAGTAACGACAAAAATAAAGAAACTGCTTGTCCATGTTGCAAACATTTTAATTTGTACAGTCCTATCTACTTATTAGGCAAACTGTCAGGTAGAAAGCTTAGAAAAGCTTTACGCTTTTCCTTATGGACCTGGCGTAAATGTAGGCTATAGCCTAAACGCGCAAACTTAAAATAAGTACATTTGATCGCGGCGCACGGGAGGTTTGCGCTCAGCTGTCCGAGCGAGGTGTCACTCCGTATCAAAGTCAAATGTCATCAGCTCACATACCAACAGATGCAATATAGTCAATTATAGATTCTTCTAAAATAACACATTTAAGTCCACGTTAGTAAAATTCAAGAAGGCAACATCCGCTGCAGCGTGCCAACATCTCTGAACATGTTGGTGCAGTTGGCTACTCGCTCCACGCGCTGTCAAAATGGAAAAACGGGCACAAAGCGCAGCGCCAGGTCATATTTCACTCTAATGTGCCTGTAAAGTCCCATCAAAACCTCCACAATCGTAACACAGCGAGGCTTTGTCATTAAACAAACAAACTTACCCAATGACAGGAATGGTTTGGTTTCCATGTCAGTCTGGTAGGTTAGCTCATGCCAGCTGAGACAACCGCGGTTGGGAGTTTTACGCAGACGGCCGCTGCTCGAGCAGACCACGGCGCTTCGAGTAGACGGGACTCGGCTCGAAGCGTTAAAAGTGTCAAGTCGATGTCTGATAGTCTCAGAAGATAACCTAATATTTCTGTCTGTGTTTGCTCACTCAGCTGCTGCGCTCACACTCTTCTCTCCCTCTCGTGCTCGATGTACAACAACTCCAACTACTGGGTATGCGCTGCAAAGGGGACCTGTGCAGGGGGTACTCCCACCAACGTAGACCGAGCTGCAGCGACACCACAGTTACAAAGAAGAGCCTTTTCACGAACTTTCACATCAACAGCAGTCGAGAAAGAAAAACAAGAACACACTGTCCATTTTATAGATATTTGAAATGTACAGTTTTCGTCAGGGTGGAGGTGAAGCCCTTTCAGCTGAGCAGCAGCTATGTGTCCTCTTCACTGCTTATCTCCTGTTATTGTAACCTCGTCACACCTGTTGAACCAGGGCTGTTGGCTCACTAGATAGATGTTTCCACTGCAATTAGTCTATCTCTCTCCAGAAGTTGCTACAGTGTAAACAAGCAAACACTGTAAACAATTACAACTATGATAACAAATCTATTCAGTCGCTTCTAAATTCAGATTTTAGAACAGTTATAACTTTGAGACCTACACTGATATTCAAATAGCTAAAACTAAAAATAAAAAACAAAAAGTTCTGCCAGCCAGTTCATATTTACTGTAAATGTTTTAAGACTGATGAAGAAAAACTGCATCCGCTACACAGTATAAACATAAAAACATAGCTCATTAGTGATAAAAATGAGACAAAGCATCTTTAAACCTTTTTTAAAAAATATCCAAATATTTTACCAAATTATGTTTATCATAAACCTATTCTAACAAAGAGATAGTGAGTTCATATAGTGCAAGACAAAACCAAAAGTAAACCCATACCAAGAACATTGTGCAAGCTAAAATGTTAACCATCACATAGTGTTTTTCTCAAAACTCTCAAGTGCACATCTGTTACTGTTTATAAAATTCATATTGTGATCTGCCAACATGGCATAAAATAGGAAAATCTTTTAATTTATTGCAGATGCATAAAATTTTGAGGCAGCTTCACATAATCCCTGCTAGTTTAGCTTCAAAGTGAGCTGCAGCATGCTTAATTTGCGTAACTCTCACTGCATTAGACCAATGTTAGATCTAGATTATTTGTCACTGTCGTGCTATATCTCTTCTGGCCATGACAGTTTGCCTATTTCAAGCCACATCCATCTTGTGTGCGCCTCCTCTTTTCCTCCTTTCAAATGTTCATGCACAGAGGAGGTAGATGTTTCAGGAGAGTGAAGAATGTGGCCCAGATTGAAGGAGAGCGCCGCATAAGCAGGTTTCACAATTCTCCCCATACTGTAAAATCACTTCTGCGGTGCATATAGAAGCAATGTAGGGTATGCTGTACATATGCCTCCTCCTCTAGGCCCCTGTGATAAGCCTGCTCCTATTAAGCTCTTGAAGGTGTTCACCACATTTGTACTGAGGCAATATATATAATTAATGCAATGCATGACGCATCAAGGATCAAAGGCAGCTGTGCAAAAGAAACTGAAAAAAGTTAAATCTGACTGAGCACCGATTCTAGGTGTGTGAGAGAAAATGTCTGTCCAGTTTTTATGTCCTTAAGAAGAGTGACTGTTTCACTCAACGTCTTTCTTTAGTGTGAATATTTCCTTCATCTATCTTCCAGTTATACAACAATCAGTCATCAGATGGTGTCATGTTTGCACGATGATGTTAAGTGACCTAATTGACTGGGTAAATGCTCATGGAGGGGAGGAGGGAGGGAAGAGCATTGATTGGACATCCTATTTGTCGTGGGTTCAGAAGGCTGTTTTGCCTCAGGCCTTCACTCTGTAATAGAAGACAGACAGGACAGTCCCTTTAAACACCTCGGCAAGAGCGACTTCTCTCATCTGCCTGCTACACAGAGCTATTTAATCCTCAACTTGGGCCATGATTAATAGCAGTCTGACCCTTCACCTCCATCTATATAAATCCTCTGAAGGCTCTTTTGGAGCTCCTCAACCTCACACTTCTGCTCACAGATGCCTTGAATCTAGACTATACCCTTAATTGCAATATCTCTTGGCTAAGTTCTTTTTTCTTTCTTGTTTCCTCCCCTACTTTAAGCAATATGTTTGGGCCTCAGGGGATGAGAGACTACACTGTTATGATACTCTCTGCTATGGTTACTTTGACAACCACCCCCACCCCACCCCACTCCTAAAGTGGGTGATAAATGAGACAACGGCCTTTTGGTCTCCTTTGTACTTTGACCATTCACAACTAGCTCATCCATAAAAGTGATTATGGCCTCTTTCAGTGGCAGTGACAATGGTTTCCAATACTTAAGAATGTACAGATAAATATACACTGAAATTTTACCTATTAATTGTTCAGTCAACAGACAGAAAATGATGGGAAAAAAGATTTGCATTAAGGATCTGATAGTTCAAGGTGATGTCTTAAAATTGCTTGTTATGTATAACCAGTGGTCTAAAACTGAATGGTAATCAATTTACAAATACTGTATATAAAACAGAGGTAAATGGAAACTTTTCAAATTCATGAATCCAGAACCAGCAACTTTTTTGAATTACTTAAACAATTACACTACTGGAAACACCCCCATCTTTGTTTTAAATTCTGTTAACAAACTAGAGGAGCCAACTTAATGGTTAATGGTATTTATTTCTATTCTCTTTTAACCCACTTCTATGAGAGCAGTTGATTGAAGCCTGAGGAAGAGGGTGTGCTATGAGGGCCACAAAAGCATGTGAGATCATTAGGGCGTTTGCTTAGGTGTTCAGCGCTGTTCTCCCCGAGGGAAGGTCTTCATAGCCTCGGGTTCACATTCCTCAAACCCAGGGTCAGGGTTTTGTCTGAGGGTGGCGCTGAGGCAACTTCCCCTGCGGAAATCAACAAGACTTGACACACTGAATGCTGGAGACGCGCACAGGCGCAGGAAGCAGGACAACCATAAACTCAGAAGCACATGTGGTCATAAACATAGACATAAAAAGAGCTGTATGGGCAAATGTATAAGGACCATGCCAGTGTGTGCATTAAATATAAATCACATATTCATACTTTGTTTTTGTGAAGCACTTTTAAATGTGGTTTTAGATATTTAATGTATTTTTCCTTTTGTTATAGGCAACCACCGGCCTCCATTTATTTCAGTCAAATGATGTAAACAAGCCCACCTTCTAGCCAAATGATCTCAGCCACTTTATTTGGAGGTAAAATTGAAATTAGCAAACCCTAAATGTCTCATTTGGAATGCATATGTACAGCAATTACTGTTAGCCAAAGCTTTTGCCATGAAGGCAAAACAATGGACACTTTAGCAAATAAGTTTACAGGTACATATGGCTTCATTTTCTACTCACAAGACTTCTTTTTAATGATGGTAAACTTAAACTCTACAGAGCATAGAGTTCAGAAACAATACAGGTTTTGAATGACATGCTTATAAAGCACATTTCACCTCACACAGCACCAGTTTTCACAATCCATTTTGTTAGAGGTGATAGGAGCTTTGTGGATATTCGCCCATCAAATTGAACTGATGGATGGCATGAATCCAGGAGCAGGGCCAAGAAATGGTAGTTAAAAAAAAAAAGCCCAATATTTTCCTAAATGATCAGAGCCCATTGCGCTCAGGGCTGTTATCAATATTGAACATTACATCAGCTGTATCACCAGCTTGCCATGCTTGGTTGTGAATGCTGCCCTGGGCAGAAGAGGCTCCCTCAAAGGGAATATCTGAAGCTCAGGCATGCATCATTCTTTAACATCACATTAAAGTGAAATTGGATACATTTAAACAGACAGAGCGATAAATCTCATCACCACTTGGCAGAAGCTGGTTTTAGCGCAGAGAGACAAATCACTGTCGCTGCAAGAGCATCATCTTCTTACCTACAATTGAGCCTGGCATTATTGCATGGTGATGAAGCTGCTGTGCTGCTGGAGCCGGCAGATTCAGAGGGTGAATTATGGCAGTGTAAAGGGTTGAAGGTGTAGTCAAACAGCTATATATTTATTATTCATTTTGAGTTGACCAGGGCGGGTGATGCTGGAAGGTAAAAAAAAAACAGAAAGCAACTGGATTCAGTTCAGCTTTGTTTTCAGATCTTAGATTTTTTTTTTTTTTTTTACTAAATTCTATGTCAAAACTTGAGTTTGTGTTGAAAAAGCCTTTAAAAAAGTATTCTGCACTGTTCCTCTAAGGGTTTAAAAATCAAAATGTCACCTTCAGGATGTCCTTTTTGTATCAGTAAGTCTTCCAAACTGAACTGTTATTTTTATCCAACCTGTCTCCTGTGTGATTGTTGTGTGCAGACACTACAGTGTACAAGTGTGATCACACTTTCACAAATTCTGCAATCTAATCTCCACAGACCTGAGTGAAAGGCCCACGATACACCAAGCTGACAGTCAGCTGTCAGCCACTGTTGGGCTAAGGTCAAGATGGGTAGGTGGGCTGGCGAAACTCAGGACTTTGACACAGGAGGCTACTGTTTGTTTCCCGCTTCCAAAAAATACTCCGTGTTGTTTCAGGTAACCAAGACTATTTCATGTTTATTATCATAACCCTCACGACAAAGGTCCTCTCACCATAATGAACTTATTTTAACCCAAACCATGATCTTTCCATAAACCTAACCAAGTTCTTCTGTGACTGTTCCATAGCCTTAACAGTGTGTTTATTATTGTAACCATGGCGATGAAGGTCTGTACGCCTGCCACATTACGGGGTGGAATATCAGGAGACACTCCTGTGGGTCATATCAGAGGGTAGGAACAAATGATGGTTGTTTAGTTTGGAGGACTTGGAGGTTGGAATTTAAGCAGGTAAGCAGTTCATCATGTACGATCTCTGATAACCAAGGCCCCCAGTCAGATTTATTATAGCAACAAATTCTGTTTTGACATTAGCAGCAGAAGTTTACGCTGGAGTTTTGCCTCTCAGAGCTGCTTTGCTGGTACTGCCTCCTGCTTTCGCTTTCTGCACTGTGACTTGCAGTCAGAGCCCTACCTACAATAAAACAGTGACCCCACTGCAGTTCTTTTGGGTGAAAGATTCGGGATGCACGATAAATGATTGGCTGGATCAGGTGTCTTTTATTGTATTTTTTT